GCTACGCATTCTTTCACGGGCTGATGCCGCACTCCAGAGCCACCCGTGAGACTTGTCAACCTGTTAGGTGCCAGACGACAGGCTGGGGGAAATGCGCGTCGTTGGGTGATGAGGGGCTCCTACAAGGTCTTTTTGTTGGCAGGATTTTTCGCTACAACAAACAGTCACTTCAAGGCCAACTTGGACATTTTGACAAACATCGAAATCTGAAGGTTGCGCCCCATATTTCCGATGTTCTTTTCATGCCAAATCTGAAAGTGCACACTTTGGCTATATAATTGGGAGTCCTACCTCGACATCCGGCTCATTCCAAGCTAAGCGTTTCCTGCCAGTGATGAAGAAGTCATCAAGGTGATGGAAGGCTGGGCAGGCGGGAGTTGTGAGAGCCCTCCTGCGCTGGCGATGTTGTTTCCAACATGTTTTTCTTTAAGCCAAAAGCCATTCTATCCGCTGGGGTCATGTGGTTCTGCAAATGTCCCCAGAAATGTTGAGAGATAGTGAGAGACAAGGATATATTTCCTGCTCTTGGCCATGGTTCGGCAAAGACGCCTGCTGGTCCCACAGGCAAAGAAGACGAAGGAAGAATGCGGGAAAAGCCGCGCAGGTACAAGGCAAGAGGGCGAGTGGAGGTCAGGGTTTAATTGAACTGTAAGAGTGTAATTTGTCGCCTATCGCCTTTTGGGTGTTCGTCGAGAGAAGGGCTACACCTTGGCTGCCAGGGAAAGCTTTGCGAGGCCAGGTGGGTTTGCATCGGAAAGTGTGTGGGGCCAACGTGCAATGCTTGCATTGTGGTGCAATGATTGGTTTGAGGAACACTCTTACTCTTTCCCTGCCAAGTTTTCAATCCTGTCTTGGAATTGCATCTTGCTGATCAGCGTGAGCATATATTCAATTTTGTTCTGAGCGACTCCTTCGCTTTACGGAAAGACTCGCGAGTGTTCTGAAGAATTCAGAGGCATGAACGTGGCCATTCTGTTGAATTCTGAAGCTGGCCCACAGCCTCAAGCTACAGGGCGGCTGCATACATTTGCTCATGAATTTAAGTACAGTGGTTGCGACAGAATCCATGGCTAACATCTTACTACCATGAGCTATGAGCTGACAGGGCTTCACTATGCAAAAGCTTTGAAGCGGTGCCTGCTAGAAGCCACTGCCACTGCCAATTCTTCATTTTGCAGCGTTCTGTAGTATATACTTCATAGGGATTCAAGCCCTTGCCAACACGGAAACCACGTGGTCACGAGCAAGCAACATCCAGATTATCGTCGCAAGTCCCTGAACAAGGACAGCACAGGCCCGGGTAATTTAGCCCGTGCCCACCAGCTTCCATGTGTTCCTGTCCGAAGGCTCAGGAGGAAGCGGCGGACTGGAAATTGCGGTTCTACTAAAATAACAGCCTCACAAGGAAAGGCGTGTTCTTTTGGAGGTTTGCCTCGCCATCATCCAAGGATTTTACTTACTGTAGATGTGCCTGGGAGCAACGCTCTTGCTTGTTCGACATATGCAGGGTTCACAGGAGCATAGGTCTTGAGGCACCAGGTACACCATAGTTCCGTCGTGGCGATCCATGAGTTTCATTTTGAGGTGGGGAATGCACAGCCGGCCAGTCACGCGCCATCGGCCCAGTTCAAGGCCTTGTGCTTTGCTTTTGTCTGGCGGGTTGACAATGGCAACAAGCGTTTTAAAGAAATAAGGTTCAGGTTGTTTGAATTGAATTGACCAAGACCTCGAAGTTGCTTGGCAGTTGTTTCCAGTGTCTACCGAAGGTGTTTGAAGGCCATGTCAATGCAGTCTCGGCAGTCTAAATTCAAACAAAGGTTTTTTGGGCTTCGAGTTCAAGACGATCCCTCACTGAGTTGTTCTGAAGGTTTTGGTTAACTTTGGATCAATATAGAGATTTCGACTCACAGAACTGAGTGTGTGTGTGTCACCCTTGGAGTCATAGGGATGCTTTTGCATTTGTTTCTTTTACAGCAGGGGGTAGCGGCAGATCACTTGGGACCGCTACCAACGAAGACGCCCATTTGATCTGGTGAAATCAGAGTTGGCCACTCTGACGTACCTGCTTGAATTTTCAACGGAATGGCAAGAGGCTAAGCCCAGAACCTCAAGACATGGTGTTGCATAGGGCTTTGGTTTTGATTTGCAGATGTGAGCGGACGACGTCATTCTGTCGGTCGATCGTTCGGTGGCTTATTCAGACTTTATGGCCTCGCTGAACTTGTTAGACCTCCTCTTCCTTTTCAGG